ATATATTCTCATAGTATCTTGGGTGTATTACATTTTATATCCATTAGGTTATAGCAGAAAATAAAGCATATTTATAGTAAAAAAATAATAATGTGCAAATTAAACAATTAGATATCTCCACTGAAAATAATTCTATGTGAGCAAACGTATACATTCTTAAACATTTTGCTTTGCAACATATCACACTTATCTTTTTGTCACTCTTTGTATGGTTATTGATAAACAGAACAAACAAAGCAATAATTTTTATAGCAAACCTACCACATTTAGCGCAAATCTGTGTAGCTATTCTGTAGACATAATTTGTTCAGAGGCGGCCAGTAAGAACGGAAAAAAAAACTAATGTAAACTTTAACTCACCCATAATTATGACAGAAACATATATAGTATTCATTTGGAAAAACTGTATTTGATTTGTATAGCACTCTATGAGCCGAGATTATACTTGCTAGCAGCATAATGGACATTGTCTTCTATTATTTACATTACTCCTTACCACTGGTTAATTTATGTTTCTAACCCTCCGTAGTTTTATTGTCATCACATTCCTTTTTTAATATCACATGTCATAGTACTATTTGGTTCTTTTCAGAATTTTAACAGCAGGGAAACATATTGCAAATGATAAGAAGATATCGCATATACATATTTCATGTGCACATTTTACTGTTACTGTAAGACAATCACTCAAATATTGTGATTACTGTAGCTAAACACATCCCTGGAGAACCAAGCAAAATCTGAATTTGCAAATTGAAGTAGTTTTATGTTTTGATGATTTATAGAGAAAATAAAAAGCAGTTTTCTCCTGTATTATAGTTCCAGGTATTGTGTTGTAAATCATACACAGCTCGCTTCTGAGAACGAGGTTGCTGCATTTATACAACCATATTAGGAACACAGAATAGATACAATGAAATTGATTCTTCTTCTTCATAAATATACACTTATTTTGAGGTAGTCATTGGTATAATACAAATTAAGACATTGAGTATTCTCTACTGATTAGTACTGTTAACCAGATGTAGTTTTCTTGGAAGTAGGAAAAGAGGCACAACTACTAAAAATCACTGTTTGTAATGCTCCATAAAGAAAAGGGTGTTATGCTTTGACATTGATACAAAGTTTTAAGAATTCCTGCTTCCAAACTTAGATTCAGTGGTGGAACACATCTGTGTTCTGCCAGTCAGGGAAGCCCATGAGTTGGTCGGCTGGTGGTGGCTGGCGGTCGTCGACTGTGCCCTAAGGCAGAATAGCAGCCGGATGCCTGGGTGGCAGGTGCATACTCTGCTGAAATATACTGAGTCTGGAGGTGATGCCGGTAGCCAGGATATGATGTCATTCCAGCCACTGCATCACTATTTCTGTTTATCTTGGAACTATTTAGCATAAAACAATATTCGCCCAAAAATATCTTAACCATTTGGAATTTAACTGGCAATAATATATAGTTCCAATTATCTTTTAATAAATAAACATGTTAACACAATGTGTATTTAAAGGTTCTACAAGAATACATTAAAGTGTACATGTCATGCCAAAACAACCTACACTCTTCTTAATGAGAATAACATTCTATCTCTACATTGTGATATGAGATTTGCTAGCAAATGTATAGATTGTTAAATAGAGTTGAGCAAACCCTACGGTTTTGGACCCCGGACCCGAACACGGACATATCAGTGTATGTTTTGGTTGAAGTTCAGTGTTTGGCGATTTAATGGCGCGTTTTCAAAGGCTGCAGGGAAGCCAATCAACAAGCGCTTGACTTGTGTGCCCTTAGAAGCCAACACAGCCATGCCTACTAATGGCATGGCTGTGACTGGCCAGTGCAGCTTGTGACCCAGCCTCTATATTTAAACTGGAGTCACGTAGCGCCGCACGTCACATGAACTCAGTGTAGGGAGAGGATGCTGCAGCTGTGAGGGACAGATTAGGAAAGAATTCTATTGTTGAATCTGCAAACTACAGTGATTATTTTTGTGGGTGCTATACTACATTTTCGTACCCTGCCCTGAGCCCAGTGCCACAGAGAGTACAGTGCACTTGCAACTGCATGTGTGCCAGGCACATTACTTTAATCCTGTTCTGGTAGCTCAGTCAGCAACACCTAGGCATTTTTAAATACTGCAATCTTTTTGGTGCTAAATAGTACATTTGCGTACTGCATTTCTTGCAGTCTAATAAAACCCTTAAATACAACTGTTACATTGTTGGTTTAAAAAAATCACACTTTTTTATGCTAAATAGTACATTTGTGGCCTGCGGTGCATTTCTTGCAGTCCAATAAAACCCTTAAATACTACTGTTACATTGTTGGTTTCAAAAATCTAACTTTTTTGTGCTAAATATAACATTTGGGGTGTGCACTTCATATCTGAGAGTTAAATAGAACTGTCAAATACTGTGGTTACAGAGCAGTTTTAAACATTTAAATTTTTTTGGTGCTAAATAGTACATATGCGGCCTGCGGTGCACTTTATATCTAAGAGTCAAACAGAACCGTCAAATACTGTGGTTACAATACAGTTTTAAAAATTCTACTTTTTTGGGTGCTAAATAGTATATTTGGAGTGTGCACTTCATATCTGAGAGTCAAATAGAACCGTCAAATACTGTGGTTACATCGCATTTTGAAAAATTCTAATTTTTTTTCGTGCTTAATAGTACATTTGTGGCCTGCGGTGCACTTCATATCTGAGAGTCAAATAGAACCGTCAAATACTGTGGTTACAACGCAGTTTTAAAAATTCAAATTTTTTAGGGTGCTAAACAGTACATTTGGGGTGTGCACTTCATATCTGAGAGTCAAATAGAACCGTCAAATACTGTGGTTACATCGCACTTTGAAACATTCTAATTTTTTTGTGCTAAATAGTACATTTGGGGTGTGCACTTCATATCTGGTGTATGTGTGCAACACTGGCTAGTTACTGCTTCTCAAGAAAGTCTAAAGACAAATAAATGTTGCCTATGGTGCAGGTAGTATAGAAGGCAAGACTGAGACAAATCATTCGGGTTACGTTTGCCTGTTGACTAGAGTTGAGCAGACACCTGGATGTTCGGGTCCAGCGGGTTCGGCCGAACTTTGAAAAAAAGTCCGAGTTCGTGCTCGAACTTGACCCTGAACCCCATTGAAGTCAATGGGTACCTGAACTTTTGGGCACAAAAATGCCTCTAAAAAACTCCTGGAAAGGGCTAGAGGGCTGCAAAAGGAAGTAAAATGGGGGGTAAGAGTAGGATAAGTGCCCTGCAAACAAATGTGGATAGGGAAATCACTTAAAATAACCTAAAAATTAAAAATACAGCTGAGCCATAAAATAGCACTAGATGAAATCTTTAATTTTAGCTTTGAAAGAACATAAATCAAAATCTAAAGCATGGCTGTCAGGAGGATCACCAGAATTATCCATTTGAGAGAGGGTTGGAGTGCAGGGTATTCTCTTTCATTGTTCAAACTGAGCTCAACTCCTGATGCATGGAGAAAAGGCCTTCACAAGCCTTTTGTGTACATAGTTTATACTAAGTGACCCATAGGTTGAGGAGGGGGTGACCATGGTGGTATAGGTGGAAGAGGCGGTGGAGGAGGAGGATGAGGTAGCCAACACTGATTTTTTTTTTATTGTGGTAGCCCACAAAATATTGGGACATACAAAAAAAAGAAATATTTGCGATGCATTTCTTGCAGTCTTGATGCATGGAGAAATGCTCAACTCCTGATACATGGAGAAAAGGCCTTCACAAGCCTCTGATATTGTGTACATAGTTTATAATAAGAGAACCATAGGTTGAGTAGGCGATGACCGTGGGGGTGTAGGTGGAAGCGGCGGTGGAGGAGGAGGAGGATGAGGTAGACAACACTGTTTATATGTATCTATTTTTTATTTTAATTGGGCAAGCCCCCAAAAAATTGGGCTATTCCCTGATGAAGGTGCATGTCTTAAGCACCGAAACGCGCGTCAGGTTCTCCTGTCACTTTTTTTCACATTCTCGCACTGGGCACTTTACACTATGGGCAGGCAACCAACATTCTAAGTATGGTTCTGCCCTGTAACACTATTTAAATTCACTTTCCCCTTTTCTTTTCCTCTCTTTTATGCCTCCTAATTTGTATCTAGTAGTCTTTGTATAGGTGATACATTAGTATCAGTAGTTGTATTTGATTTTGCTGTATATATATATGCCTCTACACTAGATACTATGTATTGAACCTATTTAAATACTTTGTCTACAGAGGACCTAATATATATTGGTAACAAGAGTAGGCAGCATTTTGCAAATATTGACAGTGAGACTCTTGGCTCTTAATGATTTCTCACTGTGTGGACTTTTGACTGCCATAATACAGTTCTTTTGGTTACCTTCAAACTTTAGGGTCACTCTAGTAGTATTTTGGAATGCTCCCCGTGATTCTATGAATTTAGATTTATATTAATTGCTCAGACTGTGACACACTCATTTATTAATAAAGTCAGTAAGTCAGAGGAATTTAATCAAACACGGTGTTCTATAAGAGAGGTTTAGCCGAAAGGCTTAGTATTTATCACCTCACTTTGCAAGTTTCCAGGGTCAGAATCCAATAGACCTTTGTGTACTCTATTAAGGCTTCATATTTTTATAGGTCGTGTATTAACTACTAATTCCAGTTTAAACTCACATCGCTGAATGCACTTTCAGTGATTTGGGTTTTCTTTTCTTTTCTTTTTGTTTATCAGTAAGGGGTTAAGCCCCAGGACATTTACTGGAGTGTCCATCAAGGTGGTCTTTTTGGATCCCCTGGGTGGTAGGTTCCCCTGTGGTTTTGGGTTTACCACCACCTTGGGTTTTTAAACATTTTGTTTCAATACAAATAAATAAACATTTGCGGCCTGCTGTGCATTTCTTGCAGTCCTGATGCATGGAGAAATGCTCAACTCCTGATGCATGGAGAAAAGGCCTTCTCAAGCCTCTGTTATTGTGTTCATAGTTTATACTAAGTGACCCATAGGTTGAGTAGTCGGTGACCGTGGCGGTGTAGGTGGAAGCAGTGATGGAGGAGGAGGATGAGGTAGCCAACACTGTTTTTTTATATATTTATATATTTTTTTAAATGGGGTAGCCCCCAAAATATTGGGACATATAAAAAAAGACAACTCTGTTCCGCAGAGTAGGTGTTAACATTATAGTTGCTCAGGCACTTTGTTGACTCTGGAGAACCTCGGGCCAAGAGCACATCCCCGTGACGGCGACTTTGCATTTTGGATGTCATCCATATCAACTTTCGATAGCAGTTTCTGCGCCTACCATGGTGACCACGGGTAACGGGAAATCAGGGTTCCATTTCATACAGGGACCCTGAGAAACGTCTACCACATTCAAGGAAGGCAGCAAGCGCAAATGACCCACTCCCTACGTGGGAAGGTAGTAACAACAAATAACAATACAGGACTCTTAGAGGGCCTATAATTGTAATGAGTCCACTTGAAATCCTTTAGCTCTGATCAATTGGAGGGAAGTCTGGTGCAGAGCCACTGACCCGTGCGTGCTGCAGTTGAAACTCCACTATCGCCTGCTGCTGCTCGCACAGTCTCATGAGGGGGTGAGCGGGAAGGCCGAAGTTATGCTGCAGCACAGACAGGTGAGCAGCAGCAGGGTGAGTACACCAAAAGCGCGCACAGCCGCTACAGTGAATGTCACATCCTGTTCCAAGTTGCGGATCAGTCTGGTAATGGCTTCTAGTATCAAGTACTCTTTTTACTGAAGCTGCATCAGGTCCTACTATGTGGCAGCACAAACGCTGGTGCTTAACACCAGGGGGCGTGCGGTTACCCTGAACCAGACCCTGCTAATCCATTCCACACTGTGACTCCTAACTTCAACATCAGGTATACTGGGTCCCGGTCATCCGACCGCCGCCCAGACAGTGTCTGGGTCCTGGTCACTGGACTGCTCACCTGAATGTGAAACTACGAATGGATCGTTAAATCTGGTATGAACCCGAACTTTGCAGTTCGGGTTCGCTCAACTCTATTATGGATCCTTTGATCGCTACATGTATTACTTGGATAACTGTGGGAATTCTTAAGATAATACATGCCGACGAGGGGATGGCCGCTCTGCTTTTGCACCCTGCTCCCTCTTATGCTGTGCTGGTTCCTCTGTGCGACCAGCGCAACTTCCTCCAAACTGCACATGACCTTGATTCCATGTGGGGTCTAGGACCTCATCATCCTCCATATCATCTTCCACCCACTCCTCAACCCTGCTCTCCTTGCGGTATGCACACTGCAGAAGGCCACAGCAGTTGGCACCTGTGTTTTTTTCCAGCATGTAAAGTCTGCAAAGGTCATATGGAAATTGTTTTAGAATTTCCTCCAGGCAACAGTTTTCCCTATAAACTGACCTCTCAGCTTGACTTGTGAGGGTATTGCCCCAGAATTACAATATTGTTGAAGTACATCTTAGCTATTGATAACTGTTTTAAATATAGCAGCTTGTTATCTGGTAGTTTCTAGTGTAGAAAATATCAATCTGTTTTCTATCACTTAGATCTGTGTAACAAGTGTTGTAGGTGTGAAACAATATTACAAGTGACCGATGTAATAAATTTGAATCAAAGTTAGTCTTCGATTTTACTCTCAAATATCTCGCTCAACTCTACTGTTTACATTAATTATTTAATTATCTTAGACCATTAAAATTCAATAATCAACGAAAAAACACACTAAGTGTCATACAAAAATATGTATTAAAGACAAGTTAAAAACAAGACTACAAGTCATGCTATAACAAAATTAAACAAGTTTTAAAATATGCATGGGTCAACCAGTGGCTGTAAAAACAAAGTTTTACTGGTTACATTCATGACTACACACTCTAGTGAACAGGACCTTCATGTAGTGTGTTCTTTTTTTTTTTTTAAATCATACAGCATCCGTTCATGTGTTTTTCAGATGTCATATTGTTAATTGCCAATTTTTGTTTAGCCTGATTTTTTTTAAAAAGTGAAAAATAAGTGTTATTGTGATCGCTTCATATACCGAAACATTAATACACATTTCTATATTGTGTAAAGACACAACTACACAGTTAAAAACCAAACACCAATCTACCTGTGCATGGCTAATGTGATACAATAAGTCTACATTTTAAAAATGCAATAACCCACAGAAGATGGTTGAGAATTTTTTTTTGCAAATGTAACTTTGATTCAAATTTACTATATCAGCATAAGAGGTAGCAGGATGCAAAAGCGGAGCGGCCGCCCCCTTGCGCTCGTTGGCATGTATTAGCTCTAGAGTTACCACAATTATCCAAGTAACAGATGGAGCGATCAAAGCAACCATAACTGATTTAATGAGCATTTCACAGTTTCACTGTAGTGGCTGTGCGTGCTTTCGGTGTTCTCACCCTGCGGCTGCTCACCTGTCTGCGCTGCAGCGTAACTTTGGACTTCCCACTCAACCCCTCATATGCGACTCCACCTTGCACATGCTGGAGAGACTGTGCGAGCAGCAGCAGGCGATAGTGGAGTTTCAGCTGCAGCACGCACAGGTCAGTCGCTCTGCACCAGACTTGCCCTCCAATAGATCCTCATTAAAGGATTTAAAGTGTGCTCATACCAATTACAGGGCCTCGAAAGAGTCCCGTATTGTTATTTATCGTCACTACCTCCCCGTGTCGGGAGTGGGTAATTTGCGTGCCTGCTGCCTTCCTTGGATGTGTTAGTCATTTCTCATGCTCCCTCTCCGGAATCGAACCCTAATTCCCCATTACCCGTGGTCACCATGGTAGGCGCAGAAAGTAACATTGAAAGTTTATAGGGCAGACAACCGAATGCGTCGTCGCCGTCACAGGGATCGGTCCGAGGTTATCTACAGTCACCAAAGTGTCTGCACAACGACTGTCGAGTTGCCCACATTCTTACTTGCGCTGATTACTGAGTGGCCCCCTAACTGGATCCCCGTTACAAGGACAACGTGCCGTCCTTAATTCCCTCACTGGAGCGTGATCGGAAGATGTGCGACTACAAGCGCACGCTGGTAGACGCGCTGCTGATGGCATTCCCAACTGACACTGGGGGCTCAGTGGAAGCACAAGGCGAAGGCAGAGGAGGAGGAAGAGGTCATCAACGCAGCTGGGGCACCACCAGCACCTCACAAGGCAGGGTTAGCGTGGCCGAAATGTGGAAAAGCATTGTCAGCACGCCACAACAACCAGCACCACCAGCTGATATGGGACGTCTTAGCAGGAGGCAGCATTTCAGCAACATGGTGGAACAGTACATGTGCACATGCCTACACGTACTGACTGATGGGTCTGCCCCATCCAACTTCTGGGTCTCAAAATTGGGCACATGGCCTAAGCTTGCCCTTTATGCCTTGGAGGTTCTGGCCTGTTTTGCAGCCAGTGTATTGTCTGAACGTGTGTTTAGCACAGCAAGGGGCGTTTTCACAGACAAGCGCAGCCGCCTGTCCACAGCCAACGTGGACAAGCTCAGGTTTATTAAAATGAACCAGGCATGGATTCAACCAGACTTGTCTGTACCTATTGCCGAATAGACATTTATACTGGCCTTACCCAGCCATTGTTATACTCAAGTGCACTTATTCTTTGTTTTCTTTTTTTATATGTCTTAATATTTTGGGGGCTACCCCAATTAAAAAAATAAATAAATAAAAAACAAAACAAACAAATAAAAACCAGTGTTGGCTACCTCCTCCACCGCTGCTTCCACGTACACCGCCACGGTCAGCGCTTCCTCAACCTCCTACTCCACATCCACCTCCTCCTCCTAGAGCAGGGTGCAAAAGCAGAGCAGCCGTCCCCTAGACAGTACGCTTGCTACTGCCCACCGCACTCAGGGACCGAGCACACCAAAGCCAGCTCCAAGGAGTACCCTGGTGTGGCAGTTCGAACGAGGAGAACCCAGTCGATTCCTGTGGTACCTCCTGATAGGCAAACAGGAGATGGGGCAGGAATCTCTCTCAATCCTTGTGAGTCACCGCAAAGGTATGGAGCATTTGCTTCAACGTGCCGTTGAAGTGTTCACACAGTCCATTGGTCTGGGGGTGGTAAGAGGAGCTCAGGATTGGTTTAATGTGCATCTCCACAGTTGGTGGGTAATTTCGGCAGTAAACTGGATGCCCTGGTCTGAGAAAATCTCCCGGGGAAAACCCATCCGGGAGAACACTTGCATCAAGGCTTCAGCCCCAGTCCCTGTCCGAATACTGCTCAGGGTACCGAGTCACGTAGTCCATGATGGTCAGAATGTAGTTTTTCCCAGAGGGACTAGGCTTGCCTAGGGGACCTATATTGTCGACAGCTACTCTGCTGAATGGATCTTCACCAATCGGCAGGGGATGGAGGGGGGCCCTGTGCCGGTCCCTTCTTTTCCCCATTCCATGGCAGACATCTGGCAGTACTGCCTCAGATCCTGAGAGATGCCTGGCCAGAAGAAGCTTTGGAGCTGTTGTGGTTCAAGTTATTGTTCCCTATAGTGTTTGGTGTATTTCCGGTTCTGCCATTGTCTTTGTTTGAATATTCTACCTTCTAATTCTCTGTGACTCCATTTTTGTTATGGAATATTACCTATTCCTGATTTCCTGAATATTACCTATTCCTGATTTCTGGCTCCCTTGACCTTGGCTTGCTCTTGACTATTCTCTGTTTAGCAACTTTAGTCCAGCCACTCTAAGGTCTGTTATATGTTAACTATTTTGTTTTGTTACACTCTGTGTGTTGGGTCTCTTTATGTTTCTGGACAGAGTACATATCACAAAAAGTTAACATTGAATACATTGTGCATCCCTGTAATAAATTATATGTTCAATGCATTGTGCTGATATAAGGTAAATATAAAAATTGATTACAGCTTCACCTTAACATCCCAAAAGCCATCCTGATCTTGTGAATGTGATTAGGAAGATATCTAGGTATCATGTCTGGAAAGATATAGTCTAGAGCAGTGGTAGTCAACCTTTTTCTATCTACCGCCCAGTAATGCATCTTTCTTGATGGAAAAATGTCCTTACTGCCCACCAGTTTTTTACAGGTGCAGAATAGTGCAGAATATTTTTTAGAAAGGGTGTTTTAAAAAAAATAAATGCACGAACATTTATCTTTTTATTTCTAATTAATGCATATTTATAATGTATTTAACTTTATAAAGTTTAATGATAAACAATAAAGTAAATTGAAATTACTTTTACTAGTGATTAATGAGATCCTTGAGGTTGATGCTGCGACACTAAATATTTGATATCTGGTTCGATTTACGTAAGGAACAAACAAAGGTCTCCTCTTTCGGTGATATTCAGACGACTTCTCTGTTTGCGCATAATATGATTTCTCATCTGTGAGTCAGCTCATCTCCGCTCCCTCCTCAATTCCACTCCCCACCTTTTTGTTTTCCTTTTTTCTATTTTTAAACCTTCCTTATAGCAATGCCCAGTAGGAAGGCTGAGCGAGGTAGCCCACTTACTATAGCCCACTATAACAGACAGGCACACATACATACATACAGACACACACACACACACACACACACACAAGACACATACACACACACACAAGAAACACATACATACATACAGACACACAGACAGGCACACATACACACACACAAGACACATACATACAAACACCTGGAATCCTGAAACGCCCACTAGTGGGCGGTAGGGACCAGGTTGACAACCCATGGTCTAGAGCATCTCATACTTTGGAAAAAACATATAAAATAATGCACCCACACAACCATTCATTCTCATATTTGCAGTTTATATGCCTATAGATTATTATTTATTTATAAAGCTGCAGTCCATTCCGCATCACTGTCCATTCGTACAATTGTTACAAGTAGAAAACAATCCATCCAGCAAGGTTATTCATTATAGTCCACATTCCTACTGCAAAAATCAGACATTGTGTATGCAGCATCTTTTTGCTCCAAACTGGGCAGTAGCCTTGGGAACTCAGGGAGCACTGGAACAGGCCAGAAGCCCTGAGCCACCGCAGAGGTAAAGGGAGATTGGGACAGTGATCAACGTATAAGGATATACATTTTCCTAGCACTGGGACAAGGAAGCTGTTAATAAACCAACAAAACTTTATGTACAACTTGGTAGAACAATAACGGTCATTCAACATCCACTGGTGAGAGTACGACTTCCAGACTCCCTATATCGCCCCAACACAGATAATACAGCACCCTATATTCTCCCATCCCAGATAATGCAGCACCCAATATCCCCCACCCCAGACTGTCTAGTATGCCCACCCTTACTGAATTGTTGCTGCTTTTGTAGGAATAGGCAATCTCTGTTCTCCCCACATAAACCCCCACAAAAAAAAATGCAAGAAAAAACTGTGGAACTACTCATGAGGGGAAGGGCTTGAGCTACTCTTAAAATGGTTGGAGCCATTTCAGAGTCTCAGTGGAGCCATCTGGTTAAATGTGTATTAGGCAGTTTTTGTGCGTGTGTATGTGTATGTATTAAGCAGCTTATATGTTTGTAGGTGTAGAGAAAGGGTCTACCAGCATCACCTTGTGACAAGTGTCTGCATTGCCAAAATGCTGCTGAGCAGGTGCTAAGTAAAACTTCACTATGCATTGCATGTACAGTTTTCATAACACACTATGTACTGATGCTAGAAAAGGGCATCTGCATTAGCAAGGAGCTATGCGTTTAGTGCAAAACATGATACCAGCAACTCCTCACTGGACCCCAGGTTCATATGGGTTGGACATTATTATGTAACAGCACAGAAAGAGCATGTTTATGTGATATCACACCATGGGTAGTGCACATGGGGGGCAGAAATATATATTTTTTTTTTGCCAAGGTTAACAAGAATCCTTGTACTTGCCCTACTGTTTATAACCCTCCATTGGAAAACAAAGACTCCCATATATGTCATACACACTGTCTGGCAACTGCCCTGTACAGTGAAAAACAGGATTCATCCGTGAAGAGAACACCTCTCCAAAGTGCCAGACGCCATTATATGTGAGCATTTGCCCACTCATATCGGTTATAACGATGAACTGCAGTTAGGACAAGACCCCAATGAGGACGACGAACATGCAGATGAGCTTCCCTGAAATGGTTTCTGACAGTTTGTGCAGAAATTCTTTGGTTATGTAAACCGATTGTTGCAGTAGCTGTCCGGGTGGCTGGTCTCAGATGATCTTGGAGGTGTACATGCTTGATGTGGAGGTCCTGGGCTGGTGTGGTTACACGTGGTCTGTGGTTGTGAGGCTGGTTGGATATACTGCCAAATTCTCGGAAACGCCTTTGGAGATGGCTTATGGTAGAGAAATGAACATTCAATTCACGGGCAACAGCTCTGGTGGACATTCCTGCAGTCAGCATGCCAATTGCACGCTCCCTCAAAACTCTGTGGCATTGTGCTGTGTGATAAAACTGCACATTTTAGAGTGGCTTTTTAATGTGGCCAGCATAAGACACACCTTTGCAATAATTGTACTGTCTAATAAGCATCTTGATATGCCACATCTGTGAGGTGGATGGATTATCTCAGCAAAGGAGAACTGCTCACTAACACAGATTTAGACAGATTTGTGAACAATATTTGAGAGAAATATGCCTTTTATGTACATAGAAAAAGTCTTAGATCTTTGAGTTCAGCTCATGAAAAATTGGGGCAAAAACTAAAGTGTTGCGTTAATAATTTTGTTCAGTGTATAACTGATATGGTTCCTCACAATAGGTTAGTGTTCAAACTAAAATAAATTGGTCTAGATGAAAATTTTTGTTCCTGGGTAAAAGACAACATGTAAGGTAAGTTGGATCAACCTCACAGAGGTGGAAAGGTCAAGTACTGATACTGAGGAAATACAAGTATATGCCCATAGCAGAGGCACTGGAAACAACTAAGCAAAGA